GAAACGTCAGGAAGAACAACCTTCAGAACACAGCCAAAGAGCCCGAAAAACCCACAACAAGCATCAGATCCAGGCCGTGAAAGCCTTCGCAAATACATTGACAGATCTGTTCGTACTTTCGTGATGTCAAGCTGTTTACAGGTATCCACCCCTGCAAGCAACTTAGACCAGCCATACCCAACAAATATGCCCTATCAGTTTGAGCTTGGCATGGCCAATAATGGGGTTGCAGTAAAGCAAAGCCAAAAAAAAATGGACAGCTGTCCTAGACAGTAAGAAGGCTTATAAAACAAAGTATTGGTTGAGATCCTACTGATTTAACTTTATGCCACACAACTAGGATAATTTCATTGGCCTGCAATTGTAATATTGAATTACATAGAATTGAATTGAATTAACTGACTTGAAAATTCCCTATCCTCCTTCCCATTTCTGGTCATGGGGCTCCCTGCAGTTCTATTTGGACCTTTGGGAGCCTCTAAGGGGACAATGTTACAAACCAAAGATTTCCACCACTGTCCCCAGTTGCTGCCAGGATTGAGACTGCCACCACCCATCCAGCAGCAATCTCTGGCTATTAAAGGCTCCCCCCTCACTGACCTCCACATCCTGAGGCTCCCAAAGGCTTCCCAAGGTCAAAAGGGAGCCCTAGGGAGCCTCATAACCTGAAGAGGGGGAGGAATAAGAAACATTCAGTTCAGTTCAGTTATGTATTACTATAGTGGGCTAATGACACTGCATAAAGTTACACCAACAGGATTTCAGCCATTGTGTTCTAATTGTTCCATCCACTGTGTGTGTGTGTGGGGGGGGATGCCACAGTAAAAATAGGCTATGATAAATAAAATTCATGTCCACTTGGTTATGGGCCAGAGCCCATCACCTATCCAAATTACAATACATCTGTTTTGGATTGTTGCCCCATGAGTTCAAAAAAATCTCTTACGTTCTACTAAGCTCTATGTGTTGCGTGCGCATGCGTGCAATAAACAACACATGCACACATACAATAAGTCTGTCTTGCAGAGCAAATCTTCACCCACAGCAGAACGAGAGGAGGGCCCATAAGGATACAGAACACCTACTGTGCGTTTGTTGGATGGGGATGCCTAAAGCTAAAATAGCTGATGAAAGCCATTTCTAAATAGCAGCCACTGTGCTTGCTATTCTGGAGTGCTTTGCTTATAAACAATTTTAATAATGCAGTTCAGAGGTAAATAGTGTCTGCTAAGTGCAGATAAAGTCAGCTCAGGGTGGCTTTATCTATCAGAGGAGAATGTCCTTAAGGTGAATGTACAGCCCCTCTGCTTTCATACATGGACGTACAATGCACCACATTGTCAATTCAGCGTGTGTTTTTTTCTTCTTCCCGCCCCCTTACTAGCTTACTGTAGACCTTTTGAAAACGTCCAAAGAAAGGAACATTTTTTAAATGCTAGAGCTTTTTCTTTGGGACATCTGGGCATCTCTTCAGAAATTGATTGCTCTTAAGTTGATATGTGGACCTGTATATACATATACATATATACATATACATATATATATATACATACATACATACACACATATATATGTATATGTATATATGTATACATACATATAGATATATACACACACATATATACATATATATACACACACATACACACACACACATATATATATACACACACATATACATATATATCTATATATATCTATACACATATATACATATACATATTCACACACATATATACATATACATACTACATATACATATACACACGCATATACATATACATATACATATACATACATACATAATATATATATGGAGGTGCTGTGCTGAAGAACCAAGCCAAGAATAGATTTTGTGTCAGGTTCCCAGCAGAGGTTGGAAAACTTGTTTTTGGGGGAGGATTGCAGCTCTGAAAAAAACCCTCAGCTCTCGTGGCTAGGGAGAGTACTTGCTGAGTCATGCTGGGAGCTGTAGTTGAAAAATTAAAATTAAAATCTTTCTGAGCTTTCGTTTCTAGCAGTATTTGTTTATGTATTGTTTTATTTATTTAATTTTGTGTACCACCCATCTAGCCCAGGGCTGCTCTGGGTGGTTCACAACATAATCAAACAGAGGCAATACTACAAATATAAAATAAAATCAACATATAGACATCATAAAATAAACAGCAATTTAACAGTTACATAAGTAACAGTTATCCATTAAGCACTGGATATTTAAAAGGCTATATGATTGATTTAATGGCTGGAATTTTCAATAGGTTTCCATTGATGGAAATGCCTATTTAAACAATCAGGTTTTTAAGGATTTTTTGAAATTTATCCGTGAGGGGGTTCAGGCGGCTGCCCGGGGGTAGTTGATTCCAAAGTCTGAGAGCAACCGAGAAGACCCAACCCATAGTACTCTCCCTCTGGGCCTCTCGCAGGGTCAACACCCTCAAATATCCCACCAAAGATTAATGACTAGGATAGACCGTTCTTTGCAGAAGAAAGCGTTCTGCCATGTACCAGAGTTCCAAACCATTTAGGGCTTTGTATGTTAGAAACATCACGCAGTCAGTATTGAAGTGGACAGGTAACTAATGTAATGTTGCCAGCGTTGGGGAGAGGTGTTGATATTTGCTAATTCTACCCACTAACCTGGCTGCCATATTCTGAAACTTCTGAATCTTCTGTGTCAGCCTCAAGGGAAGCTCCACGTAAAGAGTGTTACAATAGTCTATTCTTGAAACTACTCGTGCATGGACCTACTCATGCATGGTGAGAGACCAAGTATCTAGGTAATGGTGGAATTGCACAATCCATGGAAGTAGGCAGCTGTCACTAAGCTCTCCAAGGGTTGGGGCATTATTTAGCCTTTAAAATAAAACAATACAGTGGCAAAATCCAGTAGTAAATTGCAACTAGAGTAGGCCCATTAAATCAGTGGCTCTTACAGATAAGTTAACTCACCAAATCAGTGGGTCTGTTCTAGTTGTGACATACCACTGGAGTCTAGCCATTGTTTTATAAAGCCAGAGGTTGATCTTACTCATGGTAACTGCTTGTAAGACTGTTTATAAGAAATAGCGAGAGCAAACAAAAATACTTCCAGTCAAGAGTTACTCTGTTAAATGTGTCTGTTTTGATGCATGTCGAAAAAGAAAGTCAGAAACAGAATATGTCCAAGGGTAATTGGGCATGTGTTTTTTTAAAAAATGAAATAAAATAAATATTAGTACAGTAATAATAGTCAGTTGTAGACTTTTTTGTGTTTTACAATTTGGCAGTTTAACAAGTGGCCAAAACAACCATTAATGATTGCAGTAAGAACATCTCCATTTGTTTCACCCTTAAGCTAATATTGCCCCATTGCCTTTTTAATGTTCCTGTCCCTGTTGTTCCTCTTATCTGATTTTTATTTTTGCTTAAAGATAATTTATTCTCAAGTAGATTTCTCAAACACTTTTTACTGTGATTCAGTGCCCCTGACACATTATTTAGGGAATCTTTTGAACTTCCTCTATCTTGATGCCCACTCGCTGATGAAGGGTGAAAGTCAGTGATATTTCTAACATTCAGGGAAACAGTCCTAAGAACACTTTAGTCTGCATCTATGTGATGAGACTGAACACTTATATGTACTTGAAGCATATGCTTGTGAATAGAATGGTATGAGAATCCATTCTGTGAACCAACTTGTCCCCAAACTCCAGACATGTTGGATTACAATTCCCATCACCTCCACCCAGCATGCCAGTTGGCAGGGATGGTGGGTGTGTAGCCGAAGACATCTGGAAGGCACTAGAAGGAGCAGACTTCTGTGAACTATTCATCCATATTCTTCACATCCGTCTATATAGAGGTTTTCCATAGCTCTACTGAAGGATAAACAGAGAGAGTTTCAAATGATCTCCATGTTGGATTAATTCTCCTTCTTTTGAAGTATGTGCTAAAACTCCCATTACCATCTGTGAGCTGAGATCTAAGGCTATGGATGTGGTCCAGTCCCATTAAAATTCAACTGGAGTGTTGCCATTGATTTCAGTGCAATGTGATTTACAGCCTGTGCTAGACTGATTTTCTTTCTGTTTGGTTGGAACAGTGCTATCACTTTTCTGTTTAATGCCACAGGATGGGTGCAGCTCAGTAGTCGAGCATGTGCTTTGTGTCAAGACTGTTCCTTGCATAATTGTTCTTTCACAGCACCTCAGATTGCTATAGGACTGGGGGTGGGGGGGACTCCACTTGCAGTTTCCACCAATCAGAGCAGACAATGCTGAGCTAGATGAACGAGTGGCCAGAATTTGTGGGTGATGGTTTAAAACCAGAGGATGCATGATGTGAACAGCCATGCTTGCTCAAATGATACCAGATGTTTGTCTGTCATAGCACATGGTTTTCTTGAGCTCTGTATCTTGCATTTAGTGATGTTTGGTGTTATAACTGGCCTTAGGAAAATAAGCATGAGTTTACTATGTACATCTGGCTGCTGAAGCATTCATCTCTGAGGGAATCCCCCTCCCTTGAAACAACACATGTTAACCATCAGGCAAAAACAATTATTTTAACCTCTTACTTGACCAGAAATTGGAAATATTTTTGGGGGTAGTCAGTGGGGAGAAACATCATTCTTTTCACAATGCAAGGAGCAATGTTCCTTTCCTGGTATGTATTAGTGAGTTTCTCTTGCTGTTACTTGTGTGGCTAGTGGGAAAGTGTTGCCAGTGCATGCCTTCATAGTACACAGTGGCCACAAGGTTTCTGTTCTATTAGCCAGTGACTGTGGTGACTTACACAAGTACATGCCTATTTCCCCACCCCATCCCAGCTATCTTGATAGCTGAAGAGACTGTGTACTAGTTCTTACAAGCTAATAATTATATGTTCTGTCCTCTTTATTCCCATACCCCCAACAACCTTCCCACAGAATCTGCTGGGTACACACAACTTGGGCCGAGTCTATTATGAACCAATCAAAGACCGCCATGGCAATATTATCATAGTCACCATAAGAGAAGTGGAAACTCTCTATTCCTTTTTTAATGGCAAATGGATGCAAATATCCAAGCTACAAAGCCAGAGGAAATCCCTTTCAACGCCAGAGGAGCCAACAGCACTAGACATTTTGCTCATCACAATCCAGGTAATTTATTATTCTTCACATAGCTAACATTCCCCCCCCCAATAACCCAGATGACCCTTCTTCCTGATAAAGTCCCTGGAAACTCAGAGTCATTTAGTCAAATGCTGCCCACTAGCCATGCACAACACCCTATAAGGAGTCTGATAATCTTCCAGCTGTGGAAGTCAATTGAGTGTTTAGGAGCTCAGTGGAAACCTTTGATTGAGGACTTGGTTGGACAATTTTCTCTGTCCTCAAAAAATGATATAAAACACCCTACAAGGCACCTTCCTCAAAGACCAGAGAAGGAGTTTTCACAAGTACAGGTTGGATCAAATCAAGTCTAGACCATGTCAGTTTCACCTATTCTTGATTAAATACCTTTAACTGGACTTTATCTGTTCACCTAACCCTTCAACTAATAAGGCTTAGCTAAGCTCAACTCTCCAAGGATGGGTGAACAGGGAGACATCCAGATCAGACAAACTAGCCTGATAGCAAGAGGGAATTTCTAAGCAAGCCAGGAAACATTGTCACTCTGTCACATGAAATGGCAGGGATGGTTGTGGCAATTCACAATCAAGACCAACCATGGGACTTAGTTTTGTCCAGTCATGATATTACCCCACTTTCTCCTTCAGGTCTTGCTTCCCACATAGCTGGTTTAGCATGAAATGCCCACAGGCAGACAAGGCATCAGAAACCAGAATAACACCCTGGCTTAGACTGAGCCCTGCTTGTGTCTCCCTCCAGCCCACTGGTTCTGTAATAATTATTGCAAACATTTCTCTCACCAAGCCATTTAACTCCAATGTGGCTCCAGAGAATCCAGTTGAACTGATGAGAAACAAGTGCTGAGAATCAACATTTAATAATCCCCCTTTCCCTTCCCATTCCCCCCCCCTTAAAAGATATGTGAATTGGAATGTTAATCTGAGGTAGACTTGTAGCGTTAAAAATGCATTACAGATACCAAAAATGGCAGGGAGGTAGAGATTTGACCACCAAGCTTATTTTTATACAAGGAAACCCAAAGTTCAGGCCTGATCAAGTTTCTATCAAGACCCAAGAAGAGGGGAATGCTCCTTGAATGGTTTCTGTGTTCCTGTGAAATGCTGACCCTTTCTTGGATTATTTGTTGACCAAATAATTTGTTGACCAAATATTTGTCAACCAAATAGACCACCAATTTTAATCTGGCCTTAAAGTTTTGTTCCTCTATTTGGGCGGGTTAGTGTCATTACTAGACATGGCATCACTAGACATGGACCAGTTGCAGCCAGTAGTTAATTACACTGAGATGGGCAACTCAGTGGGATGGCAAACTCAGCTTGACTCTATGTATGATTTCACAAAACTTCTCTTCTGCTTTTCCATTAGAATGGTCAGATTTCATAACAAAACAAAAAGGCACGTATCTCATTTCAGAACATCTTAGTTTTTGACAGATTTCTCTGAAGCTCATCATTGACACTTCCAGACGAATTCCACTGGGTGGCATCAAAGGGCCATGAACTCATTGGCAGCCGGTGCCAATCACTATCCTGGCATCACTACCAAGTGGCATCAGAGGAAAGACCCATGCACTCACTTAACTGATACCTCTGGGTACCACCACTGAGTGGAAAAGCCCATCCACTGATCTAGCTGATGCTTCCTGGCAGCAGTTACAGTGGGAGGTCCTGGTTTGTGCACTACAGGCAAGCACAAAGTTGCTGGCACAAGCTGACAGATATGATCACATCTTCTGAAGTTTGAAATTTGTGTTGCATTGTGTCTCTTGCTAAATGTAGAACATTGTCCTATTTATTATTCTTTCTACAAAGCCAAGTATACATTTTTCCTGCAGTCAATATAGGCTGAGGCTATTGTTCAACCAATGAATGGAAAGCATTCATTTTCTGAGTAGAAAAACATACAAATGGAAGCACAGTAAAAGACAGAAGAGGAAATCCAAGCAAACCAGCTAAATTTTGAAATGAAAGTAGTGTCACTTTGAGAATGAAGGCAGTATTCACTGCTAGGGACAGAGCAGACTCTTGCTGAGTTTGGTTTTTTATAACAAACTTATTTGCCCTTCCAAAGCAAAGCACAAATGGAAATGCAGCTATACTTTAAAATATATAAGAAATAAGATATTGTCAAAGCGGACTGCAGCTGAACATTAAGAAGTCCAAAATCATGACTACAGAAGAACTACACAACTTTAACATTGGCGGTGAAGATATCGATATACTGTAGTTAGAGATTTTGCATACCTTGGTTCAGTCATTCATCCAAATGGAGACTGCTGCCAAGAAATCAGAAGAAGACTGAGAAGTAGAAATGATCACCAAGTGTAAGGGTGCATCACTGGAGACCAAGATCAAGATCATCCACACGTCTATTTTCAGTCACTATGTATGGTGTGAAAGCTGGACAGTAAAGAAAACTAAAAAGAAAAAAATGAATCATTTGAAATGTGATGCTGGAGGAAAATTTTGCAAATACCCTGAACATCCAGAAAGATAAACAAGTGGGTTCTGGAACAAATCAAGCCTGAACTATCTCTGAAGACAAAAATGTTTATTATTATTATTTATTTATTTGGCATTTGCCCCACCCATCTAGATTCAAAAGAATCTACTCTGGGAGGCTTACAGTCCAAGCAATATAAAACAAGAATTACTTGTAAAACAGTCAATTTCCAAACAACAACAAAAATGTTGAAACTCAGGCTGTTCTATTTTAGACACAACATGAGAAGGCAGGATTCTCTGGAAAAAAAACAATAATGCTGGGAAAAGTTGAAAGCAGCAGGAAAAGGGGAAAACCAAATGCAAGACGGGTTGACTCCATAAAGGAAGCCATAGGATTGAGTTTGCAAGATTTGAACAGGGCAGTTGAGGACAGGAAATGTTGGAGATCACCCATTCATCATAAATCAGGAGTGATTTGATGGTGCATAACAACAACCCCTGACCTAAATCCAATTACTAGTCCTAAACAGAGTAGTCCAACTGAATCAAAGGGATTTGCACAAGTGTTTGCTTGCTTTTCAGTGGTTATTTCAATGGTCTACTGTAGTTAGGAATAACAACAAGATGTAGGTCATTTTGTTCAAGTTCATCAGTTATGAAGTATGAATTAAAATTGTATACATTGAAATGTGTAGATAAAAATGCACATGTCAGGGGAAAGTTTGCAATCAAATGCTTCATTCTTTGGGAGGAAATGTTCACTTCCCTTAAGACTGTGCATTTAACAATGCACACTTTGGGTAAACTGCACGCAAAATGTATATGTTTAAAGGAATCTGCACTAAGGTAAATGAATTTTTTCCTGTGAATAAACAGAGAGGGGACCGGGAGGGGGAGAGAAAGAAAATCCAATTGCTTGGTCTGGTAAATTGAGGATTTGGTGAGACCTGGGAATTGCAGACCAGTCAGACTGAAATCAATCCCAGGGAAAATCCTAGAGCAGAATATAAAGTGGTCACTTTGCAAACACCTTGAAAAAAATGCAGAAGCCAATATATATTTGTCAAGACCAGATCTTGCCAGATTAATCTTATCTCATTTTTTTTCATTGGGTAATCTCCCTGATAGACGGTGGGAATGCTGTGATGTAATATATCTTGACTTCAGTAAAGCCTCTGACAAAGTGTCCCATGATATTTTGATTAACAAGTTAACTTGGTGCGGGCTGGATAAAACAAGTGTCAGGTGGATACACTGTTGTTTACAGAGTCACAGAGAGTGCTTATCAATGGTTTCTTCTCAAACTGGGAGGAGGTGACAAGTGGGGTACTACAAGGCTCAATCCTGGGCCTGGTGCTCTTCAATATTTTTACTAATGACTTGGATAATGGGGTACAGGGAATGCTTATCCCATTTGCAGATGACACAAAACAGAATGGAATAGTTAATACCATGAAAAACAGAAACAAAGTTCAAAAAGAACTTGATAGACTCGGGCACTGAACTGAGAACAACAGAATGTATCTTAGCCCACTGAATTCTCACACAAGAGACTCAAAGACACTCATGGCACATTCACAAGCAGGTACATAGCTGACTCGCTTGGAAGGTGTCATGCAAAATAACACTTGCAGCTGCCTGAAAGAAAAGAAGAAAAATAAACCTCTTATGAGCAACCACCCTACTGAAAATGAAAGTACTGTATTTTTCTATGTATAAAGCAATCATGCAAAATAACACTTGCAGCTGCCTGAAAGAAAAGAAGAAGAAAAATAAACCTCTTATGAGCAGCCACCCTACTGAAAATGAAAGTACTATATTTTTCCATGTATAAAGCAACATTTTTTCCTAAATTAATTAAAGGAAAATTTGAGGGTCGTTTTATACTCAGAAGTAAGGGGGGAGGGATCAAACCGCTTTGATCCCTGCTTTCTCCCTCCACATTTAGTAAAGAAAATGGAGGGGGAGAGCAATTTCTGTTTTGCCCCTACATTTTCGATGCAAAATGCAGCTTTCCCCCTGCACGTTTTGCAAGGAAATGGAGAGGGAAAGCGATTCCTGCTTTTCCCCTACATTTTCTTTGCAAAACATGGAGGGGGAAAGGTGATTTTTGCAATGAAAATGTAGGGGAAAAGCAGGAATCGCTTGGCCACAGAGACTAGCGAAACGTTAGGAAGAACAACCTTCAGAACACGGCCAAAGAGCCCGAAAAACCCACAACAACCATCTATTGAGCAAAACAAATTGTTCTGGAAAAATGGCCCCATGAGCCAAAAAAATAAGATTAAAAAAATATTTTTTAAAAAAGAAATTAAAATATATTTTTTAAAAAACTAGTATATCATCAACTTTTTTTCTGATGCACTTTTTCCTTTGTAAGGAAGGAAACAGGATAAGACTTTCTAGTATAACATTCTCCTCTCTTTATTTGAGAACAGGACATCCTTTCCTATCACAGAAGGAGCCAACAGCGCCTGGCTCCTGGCCTCTACTTGGGCTATCTGAAACTCTGCAGCTCAGTGGATCAGATAAAAGTGCTTGTCCTGCAAAAACTGCCCAATATTCTGTGTCATGTCAAAATCCGAGACAACAGCAACGTGTCCAGGTAAGTACAGCAAGGGCTGGTTTGTTCTTCCCCCCAATGTTTAGTGCATGGGAGGGGCTGCAATCCCACGCACCCTTGCTTTGAATGAGTCCAGTAGAACTTGTGTCTGAGGGAGACATACCTAGGATTACACTAGCAAGTGGCTTTGTCCACCTGTGAACCATTTTGCCATCTGTCACACTGTGTCTTCCCGTCCACCTGTGAACCATTTTGCCATCTGTCGTCACGCTGTGTCTTCCCGCAATTGGTAGGTTGCTGTGATTCCCATTTCACACATGGGAAACTAACGCTACGAGGCAGTCACCGAGACAGTGCTGGACAAAGAACCTCTAGTAAACTCAGAGTGCTTCCATAGCTCCATTATCTACTTACTGTCTGGAGGACCACTACGGCTCATTGAACTTAACTGAAAATAGTAATACAAATACAGTAGGTCCCACGGTATCCACAGGAGAACATTTCCAACATCCTCCCCCCACTGGTTTCCTCCAATGCTGGAAACCACAGATAATAGCAAACCCTATATACCAGGGGTCTCAAACATGCAGCCCGGGGGCCATTTGCTGCCCGCCGGATGATAGTTTGCAGCCCCTGCCTTGCCTGCCCTCCCCGAAGTGCCCACGCGTCCACTGCTGTCAAGAGTAAAAAAAAGCGCCTAGCCTCCTTCACCACGCGTCCACTGCTGTCAAGAGTAAAAACAAAAAGCCTAGCCTCTTTCACTGACTCTCTTCCAAGACAGCGCCTCTTGCACCCTCCATCCAGAACTGCAGCCTGCCACTCAGCCGGCCTGTCTGCCGGCTAAGGAAACTCCTGGGCGGCTTCCTCGGGCTCTTGCTCCGCTTGATGGAGAATCTGATGCGGCCCAGCCTCACCCAGACTCTGCCTCCAGTGGCCCCCAAGTAAATTGAGTTTGAGACCTCTGCTATATACTGTACTATAGGTAAATTGAGTTTGAGACCCCTGCTATATACTATAGCATAGTCTCTGGTTCCCTCTAGGAGCCAGTTCTGGTAATACATGTTGGAAACACATCAGTTTGTATTTCCGGGTTTTTTTTTTATGTAGTACTTTTCAGGCAGCAAATAAGCCATGGACAGTCTCTGGTTCCTTCTAGTGGCCAGTTCTGGTAATACATGTTGGAAACACATCAGTTTGTATTTCCAGGTTTTCTTAATGTAGTACTTTTCAGGCAGCAAAGAAGTTAAGCCATGGATACTACAGATAGGGGAGTCCTACTGTACACATGAAATGATTGTTCTGGTATCTTTTTATAAAAGCATAGATAGATTTATTAATTGCATTCATCTTATTGTCTTGATGGTACTCCTAATAATAGTGATGCTGTACACCTGGAATGGAGTATAGGAGGGAGATTAATGGCATCTAGGCCAGTACCTCCCAAAAAAGGCACTATTTGGTGGGGTTGGTGGTGATTATGATGATAACAGAAGAGAAAGAGGAGGAAGAAGAATTTGATTTACTTTCCCCGGGAGCCACTGCCAAGGCATCTAAGAAGATATTGTGTTCTCAGGGGCAGAATATTTATTTGCCTCTATTCAGGGACTAGCTAATGCAGTACTCAGAATGGGTTCCATCAAAGCCATGTATGAAGGAGATGGATCTAAAATGCTAGGTTATCAAACAGCTCTGACTGGGGTTTCTGGGAGTTGCAGTTCAAAAGCATCCGAGTAACAAAGGTTAAGAACCACTGTGCTAGGTTATCAAACAGCCTGACTCTTGTTCAGCCTACTGATGGCCAGCATGAAGTTCCATCTTTCGCTTCTCAGTAAGATCATCCTTCATAACTCCATGCAGGATGACCTTATTGTCCCTCTTTTCTCCATATATCCAAACGGCCACTGTGCCTCTTTTCTCCATACAACCAAAAGTAAGGCTGCTCGCCCACCCTCCAGCAGGGGGAAGGATCAAAGCATATCTAGCAAAACCTAAGCCATTTTCCCTGGCTTCATTCAGTGCTAGAAATGCCTGATGAGAAAATTGAGCCCCCTGGAAAAATGCCACTGTAGCCCAAGGCATGTACATTAAAAGATTATAGAACCATGGAACAGCCCACATGTCAAAGAAAGCTAAAATGAAATGTTTCAAAGGCGTGGGGTGTGAGTGTTTTTTAAGATCTTAGCAAAGAAGTCTTCAGCTTGATACGCACACACGAACAGAATGAAATCAGAAAGTTGGCCCTTTTTTAAAAACCACAAACAATTGGGCCTGTTATGGGTTTAAATTTATTTTTATTTTTTTACTATCTGAGAACTAAAACATCAACAGAGCCCAAACATGCGTACAGTAAATTCTTCCTTGTGCAATGAACTTCTGTTGTTGTATTTCTAATTTTAACTTCACTCCGTATACAGAGAAGAGTGGGAATGGATCCAAAACCTTTCTGGCGCAGACTCGATGGAAAATATGGATCATGCTGCAGAGTGCCCAACCCGGCTGTTCTTTGAGCTCCAGATGGCAACCAAGGCTCTCCTTAAACAGATCAATCTACCTCTACGACAGGTATGGTGCTTTTTGCAAATGTGTGACACTTCACTGCAGTTCTTCATTCCAACAGTGGATGCAATAACTTGGAGTGAGGGAAAAACATGCTGTGTATGTATTTTTGGTCCAAAGGCTCAGAATCTAGGCCTGAGCCAAGATCAGGAAGATGCTGCTTATTTTGTCAGGAGGATGCTGCTGATTTGAAAAGGCTGCCTTTTTGCTTCTGATAAAATGGAGGGAGGCTCCCTCGTGGACTTCATGGCTACCTTGCCATTTGAGGCTTTCAACAGTTTGAGCCCAAAGTAAAATCCCAACCTAGAACTTCACTTCAGACAAGGTTGCAACCACTTAAGAAATTAGTGGCCTCCTACTAAGGTCACAGTTCATTTAGTGTTGGCTCTTGTACGTCCCACGCCAAAAAAGGTGTTTGAGGTTACGCTGACTGTGAAAAAAAACAATGGAGGTGGACAGTCAGGCAGATCATGAGATAACGTCTCTTTGCATCCAGGTCCCCATTTACCTGAGCTGTTACTAACCTGTTGCAGGACTACCATCTGATCATCACAGAAGGAAATTAAAGCCCTAGATGCTTATCGTGTGATTTCTTCACCACGCAGCCCAGTGCAGCCTGGTAGAAGAATGCAGGCATTCTGATCCAGTTCTCTTCCATGGTGCACATCTCACAGTTTACACAGTTTCCAGAATCAGGAGCATCTGACAGTTGCCTCTTCCACCTAGAAAAGGATTCTGGAAGTGTTGTAGACCAGGTGAAATTTGCAAACAAAAAATCAACGCATGGGGAGGAATTTTGCTTTTACCTTGTCCCACTAAACAAAACTGTGCCCAAAGGAGGCCACAATATATATTTTCAGTTCATCCGATTCATTGCTTGTGTCGCCTACCCTCCATTTTTCTTCTGACCGCCATGCATTGATCAGGTCTGCACAGAAGCTATATGCATATGTGTAGATGTGCGAAGTGGCGGTTCATGCCCATCTCTGTACATAACTCTCATCATCCTTCATCATTAGCTGTGTAGTCTAGGGAGTTGCAGTGAAACCATATCTGGAAGGCTCCATATTGTATCCACCTGGTTTATAGTTTCCTGGGTTACTTAATGGCTGATACTGTGGTGTGCAGTTACGTCAGTGGCGTAACTTTTAGAGCTGAGTTGCCATAAAGTACAAACTATCCAAAGATCTGACCGGTCGCATTCTGAGTCGCACAACTCAGTTATGCCAAAGATCATACTTTGCAGTGATTTGCTAACTTACAGCATTTCATTCCCAAAAGTTTCTCTTCAGACAGGCTTTTCTTCAAATGGCTGGTTGACCATGTGGATTTTTAAAGGGAGCATTTTACTCATGTTTTTAATACTGTTCTTACTATGCATTTTAATATGATAGTTGCTTAATGCTTTTTTTAATGTTGTAATAATTTGTGATTTGGCTTTTAGCTTTGTTTCTTTTAAATGCTGTAAGCAACGTTCCCTCCAGTTTTCAGGAGCGCTGCATGGGAGCGCCACTCTTTTCACGCGGGGTTCGGCAGCAACCGGAAGCCAATGAACGTTGACGCTTGCTTGGCTGCGTGCACCCCATTGGAGCAGCATGTGTATACACAATTTAGAAGGGACACTGGCTGTAAGCCACCTTGGATCCTTCGGGAGAAGGGCGGCATATAAATATTTTAAATAAATAAAATAAAAGTTACACTGTTTGTGTAGCTGTGTCGCAGGATATCAGCCATTGTGTTGTAAGAATGTTGCGCACAAGGTCCCTTAACTTGAGCTTTGGCATACTCAGATATCCAGTACGTTAGGCATCCGCTTTCTTGTAAATCAAATGCCGTTTCTTGTTTGTGTTGTCCGCAGTCCAAGTTCTAATACGTACTAATAGCAGGAATATTCTCAGTGGCTTCTTCAAAACTACAAACCGGTTTTCCTAAGTACCTTCTGAAAATGTGAACCCTTTTGTCAACATTTTTATGATTATGCTTCAACTGTTTTGGTTATTGGTGTTCAAATCATATTATTTTCTCTCCCTTTAAAAATATCTCATAATAACAATCAGCTGTCTGGCTCGCTCAGTGAATTAGGTTTCTGGCTGAGGAGCTAGAAGTTAGGAGTTCAGTTTCTCCCGTGAGAAAAGCAGAAAAGCCAGCCTGTGTGGCCTTGGGCAAGCTACCCAGTTCCAGGACGCCCCCAGAAGAAGGGAATAGTAAACCACTTCTGAGTATTCTCTACCAGGGAAGGAGTGCCATAAGTCAGAATGGATTTGACAGCACACAACTACAACTGCTAATAACAATCAGTGCATGATAAATAAGCTTTAAAAGGAATGCTGATCAGTCTTTGTAGTAACAATATAAATGTTTTATAACAAAACCACAGTATGCCAAACCTTCAACTTGGCTAGGCATATAGAGAACCCCTTTGGCTTAATCACTTGTGATCTAAAACCCACAGGCAACATTTCTGTCTTAAGAACACTCTAAATGACAACCATTCCCACACTGCATTTCTCCTACATATAAAGATGTGGAAATAATTCTCCAGCTTGGCCAATTGAAATGTGTCATATAAATTTAGATACAGAAATAGTGTATGAATCCACACTAAAATTCTGCATGCCTTAGTCAGGGATGAAAACATCCTCCACTTGTTGCTGGACTCAGATTCCCATAATTCTTGTCCAGTGCTCATGCCAACTGGAGCAGATGTGACTTTGAGTCCAACATCTGGAAGCCACAGGTCCTCCACCCATGTTTTAAAAAGTTAGATGAGAGTGTTGCTTTTAGTCATTCATATTGGGGCAGCAGTGTCTCAAATACTGTATACAGGTCATCGTTTCTCTTCAGTCTGTATATGGATGTACATCTTCTTTGTACTACTTTGAAATGAGCAAAGGTTTGTTCCGTCTTTTGGGACAAGTATACGAAGAGAATGGTAAATTGAAATAAAGAAAATCCTTGTAAGGGTGAAAGGAGACGCCTAGATGTAATTGGAGCTGACTCCACACCTTTGATTTCAAATCAAAGTGGATAATAATCAAAGAGACACTACATGCCACTTGATATTTTTACTATTACTCTTTGCTCTTATTATTTGGTGCGGCTTGTTAAATCTTTTTCACTGCCGCATTTGGCGACAAGGTAAGGGAGATGGAGGTAGGGAAAGAAAGGAAGCAGGCCGAAAAAGCCGGGTGGGGAATTGCACAGTTTTGCTAACCAGCTCCTAAATTGAAAGTTACAGGTTTTTAATTGAATTCATTTTCTTGTTTTCACATAATTATGTAATCATAACCTTGAAAAGCTCATGGAGTGTGATCATTTTCTGGCTAATAAGAAACATAAATGTTATTTTGTGGGGAGGAGGTGAGGGGTTTTGTGTTTGTGTATTTCTCTCTCTCTCTCTCTCTCTCTGTATGTGTGTGTGCGCGCATGCTTGTGTTTTAATGTGGAACATTAGAGCTTCAAATCTCTATTTTATGAAGCAAAATTAACACACATACACACACACAGAGGCACAAAGAAATACGTGTTGTGTGCCTGCACATACACACACACATTCACTCCTCCACACACCTATTTATGCTTTATAAAAATGCCAGTGTTGGTGTTATGCAACTTTGCTCTCATGTTTTATACCATTGGGGGGGTTGTTTATATAAGTGCCGCGTTGTAACTCTTGCCTCCCCTTCTCCCCCCACTCCCACCCCCATTTCTTCTCTGTGCGTGTCCCTCTGCAGGCTAAGCTCTTCCGTCTGTATACACAGGAGGTGTTGGAACTGGGTCACAATGTGTCCTTTCTTCTCCTGCTCCCTGCCTCAGACGACGTCTGCACTGCCCCAGGACAGAATAACCCTTACACCCCGCACTCAGGATTCCTTAACCTCCCTCTTCAGATGTTTGAACTCGGTATACTACCTTGCTTCACCTAGCAATATTAACCCAGTCGCCTTATAATAAAATCACAAAGTTGTATCTGTTCCCCTCCAGCCTGTGCCTCCCCCCCTCCCACCGTCCCAGAGGAGAGTCAATAAATCACGTGATGATTTCTTGGCTACAATATTCTCTCTCTCTCTCTCTCTCTCTCTCACACATACACACACACACACACACACACACACTATGACTACATACAGACAAGGAATAGAGGGAGCATAGCTACCAGGTTGCATGCTCTAGTCATAATGATTGGAATGCTGAAACCGGTCAGTCCACAAGTTCTCAAGCAACACATGGCCCTTTAGTGTAGCCGAGGGATGAGGGATATTGGCATATTGAAATGGACAATTCAGTCACTGTTCAGTGAAAGCCTGACAATTCACCCTGTCTTAATAGGTCATTGGCTTTCAAAACAATGGCCAAAATCCTGTTGCTTAGCCTTGTAAATTGCACTAGAACAGGTTCAAACTGGCCTACTCTACTTACTACGTATTATGCTGCCAGTAGAATAGACCTGTTTCCATAAATGGAACTTGCAGAGGAGTGGGTTCACCAAGTCCCCATTGATTCCATAGGCTGACTCTAGTACAATTTACCAAGCTAAAAGCAACAGGATTGTGGCTATTGTGAGGAAAGTCTTCCTTGGCACCCTGGTTATCACCCATAATTCCCTACTTCTCAGTGGTCATTTCATCGTAGAACTGAATCTGACACAGAGTTCAACTAAATATTTAAAACACCACATCAGTCACAGTCAGATTTGAAACCAGCATTCTGAATATATTCCTATTCAAATACCGAAAATTTACTAATTTCTGAATAAGTTGTCCTTATTGCTTTGAAAAGCTTTAATCAAATCACTGCAAATGTATTTGCATAAGTTATCAAGCCCACCCTATCATCCAAGATGCTGAACTGTACAGATCATTGTTTTGTTTTATTTTCCAGGATGGGTTTCCTAAACCTACATCTCCCTCATATCTCCAATACAAAAGGAAGTGGAATGAATGGTGATAAGCTAGACTGTATCATTTTAAGCAGAAATAGCAGGCCATTCTGCACCCACCATACATTCTAGGATTGCAATATAGGTCAAACAAGATGATACAATTAGAACATTATTATAAGCAGGAATTCCTTAACTGCTAAAAGAGTTCTGCTTGTCCCTACATGACATTGCCACATCTTGCAAGCTACCTTGCTTTGTTTTATTACAGTTCTTACAAGGTAAACATGGGCTTCCTTTGCAACTCTGTTTGCTCTGGAAAAAATCCCATCCCTTGAAGGCAAAGTGTTACCCATTTCGAAATGTGAGCTGAACATCTCTTCTAGGCTGACCGCATGCACTACTGCTATACATCCATTTGATTCAGACCTTTGATTCCTCAATTATTCACACTCAAAGAATTGTTCTTGATTGGATTATAAACGTCCTGATTAAAAGATCTCTCCAGCTGCTATAATACCACCCTACAAAATCCAGATGGCTCCATGTGGATCAGCCCATGTGTATGCCCTGTTCCTTTGCAACCACAGACACAGCCCTGGTCTCTTGTGAAGCAAGACCAGTCTATTGTGAGTTTTTCTTCCTGACCTATTGGGAATTTTTAGCCCAACCAAATCAAATTTCCATTGCTGTCATCACAACACTCAACATCAACACTTCATGTAGGTTTAAATGTTTGGAATGTTTATGAACATTCTACATCACCACATTACACACACGCAACAAATGGGGGGTGGAACTGAGACAGAGATGGAGATATACAGTAGATACCCCTTGTGAAGAAGTCTGATGCAAGAAGGGCATGTACTTTCTCCATTTTTCTTGCCTATGTTCTGCTTTGTCATCAGGCTTGGTCACACCTGTTAAAGCCCACTCCTCTTTGGTTCCAAGTGATCCATGGACCAACCTCGGCAAGTTGAAGCCCCACCACTATTATACCCCATCCACATTGAAATCAACCCAGTTGCCAGCCCCATATACTCAAATATTTCAAGACCAGCCTTCCAAGTCATCATATTTTCCCTCTAAGATTTCACATACAAAGCTAGAAACTTCTTTTCTGACAGAAAAAAGAACAAGCCATTGTTCAAAGGGCAAATGATGCTGTATTACATATCGAGGGAAATCCTATCTAGCTCCAAGTTTCAGAGTGTCTCCAAAGTTTTGGGCAGAAATCTTTCTCAGTTTGCCTCCTCTTCCTTTACCCACCCCCACCATCCCTGCCACGCCCGGAGGATTGCCTTAATCAGCCATTTCTTTTAAATATTCAGATGTCCCTTTTCCACAGTTCATGCAGGAAACGCCTGCGTGGAAGCTAGGTGCTCTGCAAATGAGCAAAGGGCCCGCTTTTCACCTGGTAGAAAAGGCTGAAAGAAAATCCCCAAATATCTTGCAGTTTTCAATTAAGATTATCAAGAGCTTTGATTCGTACAGGAAATTAGAGATAGTAAAGCTGTTTTCCATTCACAGCGAGAATTCTGCGGACTTAAGGCAAAAATATATATGTTGTGGGATCTTTGCAACACAGAGTGGGGGGTGGGTGGGGGTGGAATACCAACAAAAGCTCAGTTTCACTTTTCCAAACAAAAAGTAACTGATCTCGTGCCCTAGAGCAGGGACCATTTTCTTTCTGATTTATTACATGTTTCTCCCCAGTGCCTATAAAATGGCTGTGATTCACCTCCCAAATATTGGAAGCTTCCACTCCCCATTAGTCGGTGGCTACCGGATCTATAATTGTGAAACCACAAAGAGCTACGTTAAAGTAACATTTGTTACAGTAACATTAAGAGCCTGGCTCCCAACCACAGGAGCTAGCAATGTCAATTCTGAAGCTGAAATAGCGGTTGTAATTTTACTAACAGTGCCATAGGCAAGGTGTAAGCTGTTAGACCACATGCCACTCAAAGAGTGCCATACAGCGGCTAGCCCTCACGGAGGAGAAACAGCCAGACGCAGGATGGCCTCTCCTTTTCCATTTTCAGAACCTTGTGGGCTCAGGCTTGCCTCGGCGTGATCTGCTGACAAAAATACCGGTTTGATAAACAGATTACGGCAGGCAAGGTTTTCTCTTAAGGACATATTTAGGCTACAGATGTGTGTGTTTACAGACATTTAAAGGGGCTTGAAGAAGAGGGTTATTGTTCAAAGGAGCTCTTGATAATATAAATCTGGTCATTTTAAAATTAGAACAAGGCCCTTCTTTTTCTTTAATTTTTTTTTCCTTTTATTATTATTATTTTTTTGTGGGAGGGGGAGGGAAGGTTGGCTTTCCATACTACTATCTACATATCTTTGGTTGGATCCCCAATCATTTCTAGTCCTATGGGTTTGGCTGCCTTTTAAACAATGCCAACGTCTTTCCCGTAAAAGCCAAGAGAAGACTGGCAGAAAGTTTTAAAATGGCATGGCAGTTTGTGAAAATGCCCAGCGCCTCACTGTGCCAATCAGCTTTTTCATAGGAATTGCCCTGTTGGGTTACAGATTAGCATTAAAGGTGGCTGTGAACCACCAATTCGGCAGTTCATGCCGGGTTTTGTTTTTTAAGCTGAACAGGTGTTTAGCGGTTCCAGCTCTGCCTCCTTCAGTGGGTGCCCACTCAGAGAAGTTGCCTGGAGGAAGCAGGGCAAGGAAGCCAGGGGCTCTGCCTTTGAGAGGGTGCAAGCCAGAATCGGTGGGCTCCGAAACACTGAACACCTGTTCGGCCAAAAAAATGAAGCAGCGCAAAGCGCTGAAACCATCTCTAATTAGCATTACTGGCGATCTACCAGCATAGGATTAGTCAGTTGAACCTGTCATTGACATTCATAAGCAGAACTGGGTTGATCACCCAATTAATACAAAGAACATGAGTCCCTAAATGGCTCCTTGTCAAGCCTGTGATCCATGAAGGGATGTTCTAAGCCTATATATGCTAAAAAAAATAAAATAAAATTTAAAAAATCTATATCCATTTAACCATTATGCCCTCCCTAAAATAAAAATGGTTCTCAGTTTGATTATGACACTGAGAATTTTCAGTAACGCATTCTCTGAGCCTCCTCCCAGAATGATAGTTGCCAGCCAGAAGGAGGTGGGGGTCATAAGAAGTCATCCACCTGCTTATGAAAGTTATTAATTGTCCAGTTAGGAATACAAACGGCCCCTGGTGTGCTCATTTCCTGCCATGCTTGCATAATTTGTTTTTATATATGTACATAGTTGCAACATCTTGTGAAAAGGTTGTATAACACATGGATGAATGTCCAATGCTAAGGACAAGCACATAGTGGGAAGCAGCTTCTGTAACATGAAATCATCCTGAGCACAGTTTCTGCCATCTGGAAAAGATGGAGAACACATCAATTTGCAGCATAAGTACTTTTTGTAGAAACTACACATTCTTCTGCATTGATTGTGCAGAAGGAGAAAGTGTATCTTTTTTTTTTCAAAGCAAGGCATTCTGTCCTCACACTACCAGTTGACCTCCACCCCCTCACATCATGTGGAGATGCAAACGTTCTTGACAAGTCAAGTGTACTACTGAAGAGTCAAGGAGCAGCATAATTTGAAAGCATATGCATCTAGTGAGGACCTTAGTGTAAAAGCAGGGTGGACCAAATCAGAATCTAGTAGTGCTGCTGCTTCCATCCATTGAAAGGCAAATTAACAACCTAGTTATTCCAAATTTAAAATCCACATTCAAAAAGGTATACAAATAAGGTAAAGAGATTTTAATTCAGCCTGTTTTGATAAGGGTATTGGAATTTTGCAAATGTTCAAGCTGCACAAAGTTGTTCATCAGTCAAAACACAAAGATAGCATTACCAGTTTTATTTTATTGGAATACAACCCCTAGAATCACCCATCCAGCATAAGGAACAGATGCAGCCATGGGGCTCATTTTGAAACATGATTATGGTCCTTGATAATGGCTTACATTTTGAATGGCATACAGATGAGTGTAGCATTTGAATTAAAACGCTTAACTGGGGTTAATAAAACTATGATAAGCCTTTCATACATACAACTCATTACTTGAATTTGTTCTCACTAAGTGACAAGCATGCAAACATCCTTTGTTTGTGTTTTCCTGATCAAGATTTCTGTGTAATCCTGAGGTTTACCTGCTCTTTACATCAACATAACGCTGTCTATTTATTTATTTGTTTGTTTGTTTGTTTGTTTGTTTGTTTGTTTGTTTGTTCATTTATTTATTCATTCATTCATTTATTCATTTATTAAATTTATACCCCGCCCCTCTAGACCATGTCTACTCATGGCGGCTTACAACATAAAATAAATCAATATAAAAATATATAATCATATAAATACAATTGCAATATTAAGACAATTAATTTAAGAAAGAAGTACCAAGATGGGATAGAATAAGAAGAGAGAGAGAGAGAGAGAGAGAGAAAAGACTTTTTTCTAACAGAAAAGTTGGCCTTTACAGTGTGTTTTAAGGGCACAAATCTAGTATGCATGACACAACATGCCACCCTTTGTCAAATGTGTGAAACGTTGACAGATAAAGGGACATACAGAGGAATAGGAAAGGAGGGAGCGCAATCCATGGGGGAGAGCACATGGCATGTTGGAGAACTAAGACATTTCTGTTTAGCTCTCAAAAACATATGGAATAATCCCTTCAATAGCAAGTGCTTCACAAATACTGTAACTTAAAACTAATTTAACATCTGTAGTTTCCATGGACACCTCTGGGCCACGAAAGCTCAGACTACAGTAAATCTGTTGGGCTTTGAGGTATCCTAAAATGCCTGGTTGTTTTCACTGTAATGGGCAAACACAAGCTGGCTCTCTGGAATTTGTACCCTTTTTCTGTAATTCTGCTTTTAGAACCAAAAAAAAAGCAACTTATCTCTGTCAAGTTCCTCAGAAAGTTAAGGGTTTTAAGAGTCGCACGTCTCTAACACACTTGCTTCTGTGCTTTGTTGTCTCCGTAGTTCATTTCTGCAGTTACAAGGAGAAATTTATTAGTCTGTATTGCCGCCTTTCTGCTGTCATAGAGCTAGATTTTCTGAGCACCCAGCAGTCCCTAAGGGAAGCAATTTCAGACAGTGAAGTGGCTGCCGCTAAACAAAGACACCAGCAAGTCCTCGATTACATACAGGTAACCGTCTGTTTTCTGACTAGTCAAAGGTGATTTCTAGCAGGGGCTGTAATTTGGAACCTAAATGGAGAATTGTTGGGCATGGGGGCAGCATAAAGACGTTTAGTGTCAAAATACAATTTGGGTTTTATGAAGTAGCCACTCTGCAGGTCTTTCCCCCCCACCACCCTCTTTCCCCTCCCTCTGGTTACTTGCTTTTGAGAGAATTTCATGGATAAAATCATATGACAGTTATACTGGAGTGTTATAGAGAAGTATGTCAGTTTGGGTTATAAATCCCATTCCCCTTCTAATATGAGCAAAAGCTCTGTGTGCTCTGATCAACTCTTAATCGAGTCTTGCAGTGAATGCCGCCACCCCCACCCACCCACACAAATCCTGTTTCTTTGGGCAGAAGTGGCCCTACCCTGAGGTAATAATGTAAAGCAGAGTGGTGAGGTTCTCAAAGCCACAGTGGCATTTGTCTGTTTCGCCATGTGCAACAAACAGGATACAAAGATAAGAGCAACCCACAAAAGTCGTCCCCAAAAGCTCACACCGAAATAAGTCTGTCAGTCGCTGAAGTGCCACCATTCTTTGGTTTTTAGCATTGTGTTTTGTTTTGGTTAGGCCTTCATGTGCCATACAGTATATGACGCCCATGTACTAGTCATAGTGAGTTTGGAGGCCATGCAGGGTGGCAATGTGGGAGACAAATTTGTTCGGCAGAAGGCATGATCGGGCAGGACGTTCTCCTCCCCAAGACCAAATCCAAGGAGCAGGAGCTGTGGGCATTTGCAAAGCTCCCATCCTGCTGAACCGAGGTGACGGAGAAAGTTGCCCCTGCTCCTTAGGCGTCCCTGTGAGTTAGTGAAAACAGAACAGTATTTGCGGCACAGGGGTGGGCATTGCAAACCCTCAGGCTCTCCCAAGTATGCTAAGACTTTCAGGCATCTGTAGTACCCTTTTGGCTACACAACTAACTGTATTCACAGCTTGGCTATTGCAAATGGGGAGAAGTGTGACCTGAGGCACTTGCCTCACAGGGTGAACCTTGCAGCTGAGACTCAGCCCATTGAGTGCCAAGCTCAGTACAAAAATTCAGGGATGCACTGCAGAGTTGAGATGTGCTAGGCAAGCAGGTCCATGGGAGACCAGCCGTAGGTGCGCTCACACACAACTCTCTCTGCACACAACGTATTTTGGATCCCACACAAACACACACTAACACATGCATATGGATTTCGTATGTGTGGGCAATCTGTCTGCCACAAAAACTGTACATACATGTGTGTGTGTGTGTGTGTGTGTGTGTGTGTGCGTGTGTGTGTGTGTGTGTGTGCATTTGTTACATCTAAAACAATCTCTACACTAAGTGGTATATAGATTTTAGGTTCCTACTTGTGCCAGAGTTTGCACAAGCTCCAAAACCACAAACAATTTTAGAACTTTCTTGTACAGAGAATACCCAAAAATGACCAGGGCGTGCAGAGCAATGATATTAGAGTGGAGGATAAGTTACCCCTATTTTATAAGTACCATATACACTTACTGAGTTGCTGTTTCTAGCAATGGCATCAACATTATTCAGTTTTAGTAACAATTGCATTTCTATCACCCTTATTAATTTCCCCATTATTTTTGTATGTTCACTGGCTGAAGGGCAGTGCAGGTAGCATTCTTGTATCCAAACAGAAAATTCAGCAGAATTCAGGATGTAAAACTAGGATGGGAATAAAGATCAAACCCTTTCTAGATTTAATTTAGAACATAGCTATGCAGTTCTGTTCATCTCTGATATGGTTTACCTGCTTGCCATTGGCTTTGGCACTGTTTATATAGTTAGATATTTCTACTTCCTTGTGACTAGTGGCAAATACTGTCATTCTTTGTCCAATTTATAACCCATTTCCAACTTTTAGTCCTAAAGCCAATGCTTTTTACAATATACCATCCTTCAGGGCAAATACTTGATAACCACACTTCAGCAGGACTTTTAATAACTGAAATACTATTGTACATTAGAGTAGACCCATTCAGTTAATAGGGATTTGGCAAGTCAGTTGCTCCATATGTTCCACTGATTCAAACCACCCTACTCTGGCTGTGATTCATGTTAAAGTAAGTTGCAACTAGAGCAGGCCCACTTGAATCAATTGGACCTATGGAGGAATTTACTCACCAAATCCCCACTGATTCAGTGGGCCTCCTCTATGCTTAAGTAGAGATGGGATATGTCTGTGTATTCAATGAATACGAATATCATGGGAATGGATGGCAGGGAAACCCAGTCTCTCTCCTCCCCCAAACCAGCCTAGCCACTTATGTGTCATCTTGCAGTGCAAGCAGCCAGCAGCATCCCCTTTGCACCAATCGTGGAAGTAGCTCACCTCATGCTTCCCCGCCTCCCTGTGCTGCTGACCAATCCGGCAAGGAGGTGGGATGACAAGTCTTTCCACTCAGCTGCTGACTAGACAGGCCAGTTTCAGGGGGAGGGACTGGGCTTCCCTGCCACCTGTGCCCACAGTATGATGTATTTGTATCCCTAGAGACACAAATACAAATATTCTATCTCTAATGCTAAGCAACAGGATTTTAGCCAGTCATTTTTTTAAAAAATATGTTCTTGTTTGCTAATTGTGACACTCAGCTAGCACACATAATCCTATTGATTATTCACATTAGCGGAAGTGCAATGACATGAGCTGCTCCCTGTATTCTTCATTGTGCTCCAGTGATATACTTCATTGCTATGATTTATGGCATTGCACTTATGCAGGCACACATACACAAAATAGGATTTTGGGCACATGTTTCCTTTTTTCTTTCTGACTTAGAATCTGAACATACACACTCCCAGCAGTTTCGTAGCCCTACAGAATTATTTCAGTGTTCCCACCCACAATTTTTATTACACATGGGACACTCTAGCAGACTTAAAAGCAACTAAGAGAGCCAAACAGCTCGTGTGTGCAAATCTGTCCTTATTTCAGATAAAAAAATCCCCCTGTCATAACAAAATGGGAAATCACACATTTACACTTTAAAGGCTGCAGAACACAATGCTCACATAATACAATATAGGGAGACAACAAGACTTTTTAAAATGAAATAGAAAATATAAATATGTTAACAAAGAAGTCTTTTATGGACTCAGCCTACATTTTGTAGAGAAAGAAGCTCTAGGTTTTGTGATTGTTCATGACTGATGAAAATGTAGCAAAGTTTTTTTTAAATTTTAACCACAGTGTTTTGTACCAAATTATTGTGACAGTGTATTAGACTTGTCAGGTTCTTTCTCAAATTAAAAACAGCTGTATTTCACCTATGGGGGCGGGGGAGGGAACCACCCTCAGCCCATTACATACCACAGTCTTCAGCGGCAACCGCAAAACCACAAGAGCATTTGTGTGATCCTAGATCTAAGACAGTGCTGAAGTCACTACACAAACCAAACATTGTAAAGAGTCAAGGAGTCTATAAAAAGTGTTCAGAAATGAGATCAGGAGAGAAATGGGAAGAGAAAAAAGTATATATAAAAGATAAGGCATCTTGTGCCTAAAAAAAGCAGATGGGCAGGGAGAAAAGATGCATTTCATGATTGACCAAATTAAGCTGCACATAAGGAAGTGAATTTGCAATTAAGTTACGGGTTAGTTTATATTTTTTTAAAAAAAATGTGTCAGATATTCTTTTAGGAGACAGACTATTGTGTCACGCAGCACTACCAGCTTACTATTTTCAAATGGGAGACTGTGTAAAGGACTACAAAAATCTAGGGACTAGCATCATTTTTTCCCCACATCAAGCCTAGCCATTAGGGGAAACAGTAACTTTCTCATCAGGTGCAATTGAAGAAATTGACCCTCAATCATAAAATAAATAAATAAGGATAGAAGAGTTAGAAGAGGGAAAGGGTGCAGCCATAGAGGGGACGTTGGAGCATCCAGGTTGCTTTTAAAAGGCTTGTATCTTTGGTGTGATCATTCTATTGCATCCCACACTAGAGCCAAATCCTTCTATTCACACAGATTTTCTTTTCCAAAGAGAAGATTTCACACAGCATCTCAGATTGCTCTAGTTTCTCCCAGGATGAGTATGCACCCTGTTCTCTTTTGATTATTCACAACCCCCCTTCCCTGCCCTTTGTCACAGATATCTTTCCACAGGCCATGGGCAACTTTCCTTTTTTTTCCCCCCTCTTAAATTTAGTAAGTGGCATAGCGCTACAACAATACATCAACCTAGCACAGTATATGTGTATCCATATACGCACATGCACATGTGTGAGCATGCACGTGCATACACACATACACAAAGAGTATATATAAATATATACACACACATACACATACTCAACATTGTAATTGAATAATGTACTTGTGTGTGCCTTCCTTAAAGGCAGGGCTGTTTACCAATATGGCTCATTTAATGGACTCACTGCAATGCATTGTCAGGTCACAAGGTGGTATCTTACACCATCAAACTGAGCAGCATGGCTGGGAGGTGAAGACTCTAGAGATTTCTGTTTAGTGCAAAGGGGTCAGTCATGAACGCTCTTGTGTACTTTTGTAGTCCCAACAGTTTTGAAATAACTCATCCTACAATGTACTGGATTCTAGTGGGACCCTTGTAACAGGCTGCTATCACCCACCACAGGAATGTTGTGAAAGGTTGCGTTGTGAAGGGTCCCAATTTACATGGAATGGTGGCAGAGCAGCATTGATGGACATTGTAGGAAGGAATTATGGCTCTTCAAATAGTATTGTATTGCTACTCATTACAGAGGTCCTATGAGCACTGAATGGAATAAATTGTTAGTGCAATATCAAATAGGGTGACATTGTGGACAAGGAGGAAACTTGCAACTGAGGATCTCAGAGCCTTCCTCGGACAAGAATTAAAACATTAAAGTTATTATGATTTATTTGATTTATATACCGCCCATCTGGCAGCCAAGGCCAGTCTAGGCAGTTTACAACAGATAAGTTGGTCTTAATATGCGAGTAGAATCCATCTGTTGGCTCAGTTATTTTACTGGCACAGCAGACATGAATGGGAAATACGGAAGCCCATTTATTATTATGGGGGATTGGATGTCTTGAGATGAGTTCAAGAAGGGCACTTGATGGCAGGGTAAAAATATCTAAAATAAATAAATACTTCAATTTCTGTGTAGCCTTGATAGACAATGTTATACAAACTGCGAGGCAATTTCTACAATTTGAACATTGTGGCAGGAGGATTTTTCTCACCTTTGGGAGAATGCAAATTAGTTTGCTTTAAATGGTGATTGGTCTTCAGGAATCAAGACTCCTTTGATGTCTGATTTCACAGTCCTGGTAAAATTGCCTCAATCACCCCTCTGCAACATTAATTTGCTTTCAGCTGTAATTATGGGCTATCCTTAATGTCTGTTTCTGGCCTGAGCCCAGAAAGAAGCTGAGGTAAAAAACATTTGTTGGAAGTGCTAATGAATTAGCATTAACTCATTTAAGGTGTGTGATTCAGTAAAAATTAAAAGACCAATGAAATGAATATGTTGATTCATCTGTTATTTAATCTCTTAATTTAATTTTTTATGTTACCAAATTGCTTAAAATTAATAAAAATGACCAATAGTGTATTCAAGTAATAGGAAAAATCAATTAACAGTCAAAAATAGCATAATTGTTTTTAATGTTTAAAATAGCACATTTTGAAATTGTTGAAAGTGTCAAAGAATTAGCAATAATGTATTACTTTTATGGAAATCTATTTAATTCATTTCTTTATTTCCAACCTCTGATAATTCAAGAAAGTAATTCACTTTAGTGGCTGAGCTACATTATTGACAAGAGTTTTTAGCCCTTCGCCAGATTACAGGAAATGCTAGTCAACATTACCCTTCTCTCATGTGTAACAATTAAGTATTAATGTAAATGTGACCTCATCTATACAGGCTTATTTTGAGTGGGCTGGAGTGGGCTAAATAGGGTTGCAAATGGTAGAGGTCCAGTATGCCATTTGGTGCAATTCTTAAATCTAAATATCATTCTCACCTTAAGTAAACTTATTTGGTCCACCTGACTTTGGTCCAACAACAATAGCAACCTTCCTGTGTCTCCTGCTTCTAGGAGAAACTTCTCAATTATTTTTTTTTAAAAAGTGGTGTTCTGATACAATTTAAGAAAGAAAGTTTACTTTCTCTACTCCAAGATGTAGCTCTAGGATTTACATCATCTGATCAACAGCAAAAAGAGCAAACCAGACTATCTCCACAGCAATTGAAACAGTGGGACAAATGCCTGTCTGACTGGACCCTGTGTGTTCGTCTGTGTGTTTGTGTGTGTCTCTGTGTGCATTTTAATACCCTCAGAATCTTTTTCACACAGCAAATTGATGAGATTTGGCGTGAAATGAGATGGATCAACGAAGCACTACAGTATGCACGGTATAAACAACCATCGGGTGGCTTGCCGATAACAAAGATTGTGGATCTGTCTGAAGAACCTGTGCAAAAGAAGATAAGTTCAACATCCTCCCATCTCGATTGTCTTCTGTCCCCACCACCTTCGCCAGAGACAGAGACCCACAGGAGAAAAGCTGCAAACGGTAAAGGCAAAATACCTCCACAGCCTTCGGTCTAGCCAACAAGAAAAGACAAGTCTTTAGCTGCTTCTGTTTCAGATGTAGGTGGATGCTGTAGGTGATGATTGCCTGGCAAGTACAAGGTGGTCTGATTTTATACTCACCACAGGCTTTGGCAAGGTGCCTTCCCATGAGCATAGTGATTTCTGTGCAGGGAAGCAGAGCCGTGGGCTTCCAGTTCCATGCAGTAGAAACTGCACTGCATAACTGGCAGCAGTTGTGTGGTGAACCATACAGTTGATGGGTTTGTGTAAACAATCCATGGGGATGCTGATCCCCATGACATGTGTAATATTTGTACTTGCAATATTACACTTAACACTTGTAAAATCACACTTGTAATACTTAGATCTGATCTCCCCCACCTCCTTTCCCCCCCTGCTTTTCCCAGTTGTTGTTGTTGTTCTGTGCTGTCAAGTTGGAATCGACTTACAGCAAAAGCTTAATAGGGCTTTCAAGATAAGCGAGGTGTTCAGGGAGTGGTTTTACCAGTTCCATTCCCCAGTGAGTTTCCATGGCTGAGTGAGGAATCAAGCCCAACCCTCCTGTCACTCTGTCCACTACACCACCCTGATGTCATTGAGGAGCAGAATGAAAAAGGACAGCCATATTCCTTAGAATTGTCGCACATCATTTAGAGGGCTGCACGAAGAGAAGAGTAGTGGGGCAAAGGTAGAGGGGCTTAGCATGTCTTGCAAAGTCATTGGCAAGTCTAAAAGGGTGGGTAGAGCCCTGATAAAATTCCTTGATCCTCTTGACCTAGGGACGTGGTTAAAAAGGGAATGATGAAGAGCTGCTCATTATTTTATTGTTGTTGTTGTTGTTGTTGTTGTTGTTGTTGTTGCTGTTGTTGTTGCTGCTGCTGCTGCTGCTGCTGCTGCTGCTATTGCTATTGCTATTGCTATTGCTATTGCTGTTCTTGTTAATTTGATTTATATGTTGCCCATCTGGCAGCCAGGGCCACTCTGGGCAGTTTGTAACAGATAAACAACAGAATAACAGTATAATACATATAGAAAATAATAATAACACAATTGGGGCATAAATCAAATATAAAGTGCAGTAAAAACAAATACAATACAATCAATTACAATTAAAAGCTATATATGCTCAGTGTCCTTGACCAACCTAAGTCATTTCATCTTGTTGCTTTGAAAATTTGTCAGCAATGTGTTTTTTTCTAAATGCATTTTATTTTTTACCTGCTTTGTACCTGGTAAAGAACTTGCTATAGCACCTTGACAGTTTGTCAAGATGGTTAATTAACTCTCATCAACAGTCTGCATGTGTTCCCAGCTCAGCATTAAATATATTATTTATTTATTTATTTATTTATTTGATTTTTACCCCGCCCCTCTAGACCATGTCTGTATACAGTATCTTGGTCTTCCAGTTTACTAGAACACAGAATTCAATGTTCCACAGAGAAATAGGAAACAGCGGGGAGAGAATTTCTGGGCACATTTTCCTTCCAGTTTAGGGTATCCTTCCTGTCATGATATCTTGCTTCTGCTCCTGTTGCCATGTTTTGGAACTGGATAGCTGGCGTAGCAGAGCTTTGAAAAGTTACATCACATGATTGAGACTCAGTTACTTTAAGCAGTCAGTTAAGCTTGCATTGTGCACTCAGGTGATCTGGGAAGAACTACTTCGCAAAACGAAACTAAGAACGCATGTGTGTAACTTTGTGCTCATTTTGTTGTGTTGTCATCCCTGACAGTTTCCAAACTTATCTGATGCCAAAAATGGGGAGAAAACGTGGGATCCGGTTAATGGGAATAGCAGAAAGTAAGCTCTACAGAGCTTGGTTTGTTAATGACTTGAAAAAGAATCCTGCAACATAAACCGTTATTAAGAAATGAGGGTCAGGTGGTGGGAGAGATGGTGCCAGATGTAAGATTCTCAAAATTTGCACTATGGTTCACTTTGTGGACAAGCTATCCAGAGCTACAAGGGAAATACTTCCCAGGGCTATGAAGACTTCCCTATGCCTCATCATTTCACTGTTCTTTCTCTCATGACCTACTGAGGCCAAGGTAGGTGATCTCCAGAGATCCAGGGGGGCTGCACACATAATTCCCAGGACCTTCAAAGGCTGTACCCACTGCCATGATTCCTATCCACCACCCTCCCCAAGAAAGAACATTTTTACAAAAAGGGGAATTTTCACTGGAGAAGTCTCCATCTGACCTCCATTGGCCAAAAATTGTACAGAAGCCCCAAAGGGTGCTGGAAGTTCTTTGAAACATGGCAAAACTGGCCTCACAGACCCCCTAAAGGTAACAGGAGAATTTTAAGCCTTTTTTTAAGTTGACCTCTCATCCCAGCCCAGTTCCCCACGTGTGATATGGACTCTAGTGGCTCCAAACTCATGAGGCCATTTACACTGAGACATATGAACACAACAAGAGCTTCTCTGAATGGGACCAAAGTCTGTTTAGTTCCCTGTTTATTCACAACATCGATAAATTACTGTAAACACTGCAGATGCAATTGCTATATTTTAACTATGGGCAGGGTGAATTAGTACTCCTTTTCATATTTTCTGATTCTCCTGTGGTCTTCTCAGATATTATAAATCTGGGAGGAAAAAAATTCCTTCCTCATGTCCCCCCGCCATGCAGAACTCTCCGCTATGACCTGCCCATCTTGGGTGTCCCTGCATGTCATAGCCCATAGTTTCTCTGAATTACTCAAGCCCCTTCGCCACGACAAGGCAGCAATCCATGAAGGGAGCAGAGATCATTATTCTTCCCTTCATCTCCTTGTTTCGCAGCCCAAAACACCCACACATAATCTTTTCTCATAGGGATGTTGCTTCTGTTCCACATTTCTGCTCCTTTCCTAGTTCTGCAACATCTTTTTCCATGTGCAGTCAGAGGCACCTTGTGGACCAGTATCAGGGCAGGTGCTTTAGCTCACTCATGAGCTGCATTGATCAGAACTATGTAGAATATTTCAGGTGTAGTCACAGATTTATGCAAGGCATTGTGACGCAGGCAATGCCATTCTTAATCGTTTTAAGCATGAAATTTGCCTTCTTCACACTAGGCACCTATCGAATTGCCATTTTGTCATCCAGTTCTCCAATTATTTTCCCAGCAAGCTTCCTGCTTCTGATGTGCATAAAGTTTCTAATTGTTGTTTACAATGTTCTTAGCAATACGCTCCTCAGGTGCCTTTCTTAAATCCCTTGTTGTCTGCCTGCATTTCTTTTGTGCATGTTGGCATTCTTTGTTGTTCTCCTTCTTTGGGCGAGACTTCCATTTCTGATGCAAGCCTTCTTCTCTCAAAAAGCTTCCCTGACACCGTTTGTGGTAATGGTGCTTGTGAACTCTTGGAATTGATGGCGCCTCCTCTGACCTGTAATAATCATTATACCTAATTTCTGTAAATTGTGCTTTAAGAAACCCAGAATCATTCAGGACACATAAGATCATCTTCATTTTCCCTTTCAAATTATTTTGTTACCTACTCCTGCATATTTGGGGAGGAATGCTATTTTAAATATTGGAAATGACTGTCTTGGATTTTCTTAGCACTTTGTAGGACGGAGGTTGCCTCCCTTCTGGATGGTTCCACAACCACCTGTTCTAGTGCAGAGTTATTCAGACTGTCTAGAAGACATTTTCCTGCCACGACACAAACATGTGTTAATCCAGTGTAGGTCAGGGAAATTCATCTCACCCTTGGTTGAAGCACTTTATCTGCTAGATCCCTTTCCCTTCATACTCTGTCTCAAGGTCCCCTTCAACTTAACCAACAATAATACCAATCATTATAAAACATACTAGTCTGAACATCCAACCGAGTCCTTTGTACAGGAAGGTTAAATCTGGAAAGCACCATTTTGAATTTCCCAAGATGTAGGAAAGTATCATGACACTGGGCATTGTGGAAAATGGGGACTATTACTGCCACCAGATGAGGCTATAGCTAGAGCAAAGTGTGGAACCATTACCTTGAAAAGCAACACATTAGCCACCCATTCCCACAAGTAAACTATTCCTTGTTACTTGTAACAACTAAAACAATATGTTATTAACATATCACAATCTACTTTTTTAAAGAAAAGGTCAAAATGCCCCTATTCTTGCTAGTTAATATTACTTTAGTAGGAAGTAAACATTGCACATAATGCAAAGCCCAAATATTTCCCTTATTTTCATTAAAACGTTGAAAAGTAAATGGATTGCTCTCTTGTTACTCAAAGAAAAGGAACAAGGGACAATGTTGCTTCCAGCTTATTACTTCCAAGCTCTAAGCTGTAGAGCCACCAAAGGGGAGGTAGGCCTAGGAAGAACTCCGTTAGCCCTCTCACATTGAGAGAAATCTTCCCTTTCAAGGCTCACATTACTAAACTAAATGGGACGCTCAGTTCAATTGGTACAATCGGCCAAGAGTTGATCAGTTTTATCCCTCCTATTTTCAGACTCCCAGCCGTACTCCGATGAAGAGGGATGCTCTGAAGTATTCCTTCCAACAGACAGTGATTACGATTCGAGCGATGCCTTGAGTCCCCGGGAGCTGGATTTGGTTTATTCGTCCTCCCAGGACATATCCCATCAGGCTGTGAGCTGTCTGAGTGGCAGTGCACCAGATGTCCTCCAGATCCATGACCTCAAACCTTGCTTGACTCCGAAACAGAATGTGAGAAGAGGCAGCACGTTAGAGACGGAGGTTGACCAATCTACAGAAAACATGCAGACCTTGTCCCTAGGAGGGCTTTCTCCAAAGACCACGGAAAAATACCCTAGCTTGAGGCAACCCTTGAGTTTCCTAGGTAAAAAAAAGCATGGGAAACACCAGCACTACAGTTACTTCAGTCGACACCACCGCTGGCTACGTGTACACAGTGAGACCCAGTCAGTCTCCCTGTCTGAGGGCCTTTATACGCCACATCTGACGCGAGCCATGGAGTTCTCCCATGAGCCTGCCTCTGGTGAGCAGATAAGCATCTCTGTCGACTGTCCACGCGGCACTTTCTTACCTCATGCATCAAGCCTCCCAGAAGAAGGGAAAGGCAAATACGAAGAACTGAGGCCCAGCATCCACAGAATATATGTGGAGCCTTTCAAAGCCACACTGTCCGGTGAAGAGGATAAACCCTGGTCACTGAGCACCAGGCCAGGAGGTGGACATGAGGATTTGCACAGCCCCACAGAGCAGGGGAAGCTTTCAGAAGACCGATCCAACTCCAGCATCACTGAAGTATTCAGTAGCAATCTGTAGGGAAGGATGTTGTTTGTTGGTACTTCTCCTCTATCCTGTCTTTCACATGGGATCTCAGTTATTCCCAATGGAGAATCCTTATTTTAAGGCAACCTGTATTTGTCAGTTCCCAACCCTTCTCCTCAGCAGATTTGAAGACCAGATCTTCCTCATGGTTTCTAAGGTGAAGGATGTGAAAGGGCTTGCCTTTTGGATATATTTATTTATTTATTTATTTATTTTATGTATATCCCGCCTATCTGGTCGGTTAAGACCACTATGACTACTCGCTCAACCCATTTCTAAAATAAGGAGATTGGCCCTCCTGTGCTTTTAAATGGATAAAGAGAAATGTTCTCCAGTTGAACATTTTTCATAAGAAGATTCACTCACTGCAAGGTATCAGAGTTTCCACTCTTGTTTGCTAGGGTTCACAGCAAAGCAAAAAAAGCAAAGCGTGCTGCTTATATGCCATCCCATAGCACTTCAAGCACTCTCTGGGCAGTTTACACGTTAATTGTGCAGGCTACATGTCCGTTCCCCCCCCCCCACTAGCGAAGATGGGTACTCATTTTACCAACCTCAGAAGGATGGAAGGCTGAGTCAACCTTGAGCCGGCTACCTGGGATTAAACCCCAGGTCATGAGCACCATTTTGGCTGCAGTTCAACAGTTTAACCACTGCGCCAGGAGGCTCCTCACAGCCCCTATCAGCTGCTATTTCAGCACCTTTGTTTTTGTTTCAAATTCATCCTCCTCCTTCACAACACTGGAATTGCCATGTAGCCGATCAGGTCCGGCAGCTTACCAAAGGCAAACAACCGCAATAGGTGTAAAGGGAACACCTCTTGCAGAACCATGGCTTTCACTCTGAGGTAGATTGATTTACCCTGAGTGTTATTATCACATGGTGCAATCTGATTTAGCTGCATGACAAGGTCATTGTTGGGACAAAAGAAGAACAATGGGGTTGGCGATACCAATGCTGCAACCTAAAAGGGCTGCAAATATACCCACAGTACTGGAGAGTCCAAAATGTCACTGACTTTGTGGTGGACGAAGGGTACCTGCCCTCTCCAGTACAGTTCTGTGATGGAGCAAGGTAGAGGAAAATGACTGAAAAGGGCTCCCCTCAATATCATGGAAAAGGATATCCTTGTGGTGGGTGGGGAGAAATGTTACAGGAAACACTTTTTCTGCTCAGTCCAGAGTTTAAAATCTACATGATTCCGAGCAGTTGTTTATGGGCCGCTTCTCCCAAATGGCTATAAAGAGAGAAAAATCTCCTCAGAGCATTTGGGTCACTCCTCTTTCTATAGAGAATTTTCTGCACCTCACTACTCTGAAGTTCCCAACAATCCCTGAGGGGAAACTGTGACCCATTGCAACTGGCATTAAGCAGGAACCATTTTGTAATCTGGAGAATACAGTCTCTGGGTCAGGAGCTGGCAATCCCTTTTTTCTAGGGAGCCAGACATGTCATTCTTTATACCCGAATATCAGGTTCCTAGGCATTGGGATTTGGAACCTATCCCCATAAAATAGGAAGAATGAAAAGCGTTAATGTTGCTGGTGCAACCTGGAGTAATTGGGAGGATGGGAATGCTGTATTTGTTCATGGCCTTCTGGTTAAGAATATTTTGATTATACAATCAATGAAGGCTGTCTTCATTTCTTTCTTGTTAAAACTGTGGACCTCAGCTTTTTAAATGTATGTAACTGCATCTTTTTTAAATACTGGAATGATTTGACTTACACGATTGATCTATGATCGCAACTTCCATGGACACCCCATGGAAACCCAGTGGATTTGGTGAACTGGTTGAGTGTGGGTAATTTTTTCCTGTTGAGCCAGATGTCCTGTCTTTAACTCATCATTATTTAGATAATTTAGATCACTAAGTGAACTATGAAGTGAACTGAAGGATGAAATTATTCTTAATTAAGTTGAAAATACAGTAAATCTGCCCATGATAATTTTGGCATTACAATTAGTCGAAGTTAGTAAGACAACAAGATCTGGGTTCATACTTAGTATATAAAGGACGAAAAGCATGATGTTGCTAGTGCAGCCTTGAGTAATGATGAGGAAACTATAATCTCACATACTGTATACATCCACACACATAGGAAACCATGTTGTTGATGCTACATATATCAGAAAAGGACAACACCACAGGATTTCACATATTAAATAGTCATCACACAAGGCAAAAGACAGCATTTTTGTCAGAGAATTGAAAATATGATACAAGAAGCATAATTACATATAATGTGCTATTTTCTTTCATCCCCTAAACAGATCATGTTGAGAATGTTAACTCTCCTTACCAGAAATCATAATGGGATTATTTATATGCACCATTGGCAATGATGCCTCCATCATAAATCATTTTGAAGAAACATAATCATTTCTTCTACATCCTTTCTGATCAATCACCTGTCTTCCCTTTGTACTCTCATTAGGTACATGGACAAATCTGCTAGGCATAGTTGTGCCACAATAAATTGGATCTCAGTGCCAGAAATAATTAATTTAAATTTATTAAAAACTTCTTGTCCTCCTTTTCAATTCCTGGATAGCCTCAGACCAGGAAAGGAGAATATATGGGGAAGCTTATGGAAGCCTTGAAGGGGGGTGTTTTTGATCACTAAAAACCACCATCAGATTACCAACAGCAGTCCTGATAGTCACAAGCTTGACCAGGAAAGGAGAATATATGGGGAAGCTTATGGAAGCCTTGAAGGGGGTGTGTGTTTTTGATCACTAAAAACCACCATCAGATTACCAACAGCAGTCCTGATAGTCACAAGCTTATAACATTGTCAGGAAATGAGATAAAATTAGCCTGGCATAATTTCTTCCTCCCTCCCTCCCTACCTCCCTCCCTCCCTTTTTTGAAATTGAGATAGTACCATATATGCACCTGCAATTCTTAGAAATTTCAGTTCACTTTCAGGTGTAGTTCACCTGGCCCTGGAAATCTGAATTCATTTAAAGTAGCTAGGTGTCAGCCAGCTGGATAATTCAATGAGTTAGATCACTGGTTCTTAACCTTGGGTTACTCAGGAGTTTTGGACTGCAACTCCCAGAAGCCTTCACCACCAACTGTGCTGGCTGGGGTTTCTGGGAGTTGCAATTCAAAAACATCCGAGTAACAAAGGTTAAGAACCACTGAGTTATATAATCATTGTTATTATTACCTACTTTTCCCATATTGCCTCTCTGCTATCTTTGATTCCACAATGATTACTCAAGGATGAGAACTATTGTTCTAGATTATAAGTGCTCCCAAATTATTTCTTGCATGTCTCAATGTCACTTTGGCAAGACCTGAGCCCATCTTGTATGCATGCATCCTTCACAGTGCCTTTGGGGAGAAAACCCGGCCTGTATAGCTTTGGCCAAGCTCCATAGTCCCAGGATGCCCCCGAGAATTGAATTGTAAACCTAGAAAACCTTGGGAATGGTTTCCATAAGGAGGAATCAACATGACAACACATATTGTTGTTATTATTAAGTAGTTTCCCTATATTCCCTCTTTGCCTATCTTGAGTGGCAGCCTCCTCACTGCCTCATTTGCTACATTTCCATTATCATATTTTTATTAAATAGGACTCAACCATATTTCCAGTAGGCCAACTGATGTTGAGTATTGATTAATGTATGTTTCATTGACATGCCTAAGCTGGGATCTCCCTCTTTCTGTTCGACAATAGGTGATATTTGATAGCTGACAAACAGTAGTATAAGATTTCATATTAAATGCAACAAAGAGAGGCTAACATGACTTAGACTTCCATTCTGTACACATTTATCTGTGAATGCATTGGATCACATGCAGCTGTAGAGCAGTCAGATCTGCAGGCGTCTGAAATAAGGCACCACATTTAGAAGGACAAGTTCAAATGCCAAGGCAGAAAAGTTAGACAAAATTGAAAAGACAAAGCCATACATGTTTCTTCAAAGTTGAGATGCTTGTGAATATTTAACACTAGACACAAACTTTGCATCTTACAATTTAATAATATAGATATATTTCACTTACTCTCCCTTGTTCATGGGAAAGAGGGACACATGTAATGGGATGCAAGAAAGATAAGAGGTACAGTCTGCAAGCAGATGTTTCAGTGTGTGCAAATTTATATTAAAATAGTTACATAAAACTGAAAGGAACAGAAGCAGTCTTTTTCAAGTAGCCATTGCCATAACCATAATCAGAGCCACAATATAACTTCTAGCTCAATGATTCCCAGCCTTTGGTAACCCAGAAGTTCTTGGACCGCAATTTCTAGAAATCCTGAAAAACACAGCTAATGATAAAGACTTCCATGAACTTTACTCCAAGAACACCTGGGTTGCTCAAGGATGAGAACCATCATTCTAGGTCATAAGACCTCTCAGATTATTTCCTGTGTGTCTTAATGGCACTTTGACAAGACTTGAGCCCATCTTGGATGTATACATCCTTTACCGTAGAATCCTGACCCAAACACTGTCCAGCCAATCCACCCATCTACCCCATTTTGCCTGTTCAGTTAGCTGCTACTAAACATCCACTAATGAATTAATCCTTTTTCATTGACATATTATGTTCAGACAGCAAAGGCAGCTCACACTGTAAGCTATAAATTATATCCTAAGCTACTTCATTGTTGATGTGTAAATATTTTTTAAAGAGCAGCCAAAGAAAGATTTGACGGCAAGGCGAGAGGGGTTCTGTGTGCCTGTAGGGAATGGAACGTTTTGTTCTGAAAGTTTATGCTGAGGACATTTAATGAGAAATGTTGCAGAAAGAAATGATGTGTCTTTCTGTTCCATGTGTTACACAAAGAGAAATATCTACTTAGTTGCTGGTCAACTCTTTTTAAACACGTGACTTATGACTGTTATGTAATATGCAGTGTATATAAATATATATTACGTTGTTCGGCTTGTGGGACTATATACTGTATATAAAATGCCCCCTTACCAACAACAAATGTGTATTTGAAAGCGATGTTGCACAGCCGGGAAATCTCTTCTTAGAAGTTCAGAATTCAGAGTTTCTCCAAAGTATCAAACTTTGCCGTCACCAAAATATATTATTAGAACAGGGTCTTCGTGTGTCTGTGTGTGGTTAGAGTG